CGCGACTCGTCCGCAGACTTGGCCTTTTTGCCGCGCGATGGGCCTCCTGGGGTGTACCCATGCCGTGCGCCCGCCCCTGACCACCTAAGCGCGCAATGCGACCAATGCGACCGCTCTCCCTCCCAGAACACAAATGCGACCCCCTCGTTCGAGCAGTTCGAACGGACGATTGACCCTGCACTGAGTCCACCTTTAGGCCACTCTTGTCAAGCTGTGTGAAGCGAAATGTAGTCCCTCATAATCCTTCAGATAGTACCGATCAGATTTTGCAAAGGTCATACCACATTGGCCGACGTCAACCAACGTGTTGAGGAAAAATTCGGCACAATACCCTGGCATATTGAAAAAATAGGACCTCATCCGAGAATCAGAAACGTGACCTTCTGTCGTTAAGAACTGGGATGTGTATATAAAAAGTCGTACAGATTCCGCGTGAGGGGCGCATGGACGAATACCATCGCGATCCGGGTTGGGTATCAGGGTCTGTCCTCTCGCACTAATCGGACGGCGAGGGGGGTTGTATTCGTGATTTCGGGAAAAGGGTGTCACATTTTGGAGTCGAGCAAAACTATCACAATGATAACGTTGGTCGCTGAAAGGAGTTGTTATTTGAACGGGTTTTTTTTTTGAAGAATTCGGTGAAAAGCCCTAGAAAGTAACGTGAAGTAGACAATAGATAAGGGTGGGGGACAGCATTGATGCATTGAGATTAACCAAAGGGGAGGGGTCGCAAAATTTCTGAAGAATTGCGAACATGATGGTCGACCCTGTTGGGCATGTGTGTTTTGGGAGTGGGGGCGGAGATTTGCAATAGTTCACAACTGTGCCCACTTTATGGCAATTGACTACGATTCATTCGACTTTACTTTGCTTCCATAAATTAGTGTAACAGTCCTCCTCTGGACTCTTTCTTTTCCTAAGAGAGTATGTTGAGCAACGTGAACCGAAGGGTGCCATAATCGAGCTCACATCATAAGGAAAGTTGTAGGCTCGCCCTGCTACGCTAATGATAGTTGCCCCTCCCGAATCGCGACGGTATGTAAGCGGTACATGTTTCGCGAGGCATATGTAAGATCCTTTCAGCTGTCTCCATCGGAATTGCCAACACACAGTTAATGGAGGATTCCACGATGAGGTTGCATATCAACCATGGAAGAATGGGTGTCCCCTAAGGGGCCCGTCGCGCGGCGAAGGAAGAGACGCAGACGCGGCAAAGGACGAGTCGCAGCGCATACTGTAGCGGTTAGGCGTCAGGTTAAAGCGAGGATTACGAAAGATTGGACTGGGTTCATAGTGGAAGTGGGATGCTGAATAATGCCCCAGTGGCGAAAAAAGCAAAGAAATCCGTCAAGAACGCGCAAAATGGGACCCTTTCTTTGCCCGTTGACCTCCGATAATGGACGAGCTAGCAACCCTAAGAGGTTTTTGCACATGTTAACCGATAGCCACCATCATACCAGCAAAGGCCATGCTTTGATTGATAACGCATTCCATGGGAAAGTTATAGGATACGCACTGGAAGTGGAATACCTCATCAAAATGATAATCGAAGGGCGCTGCTGCTGGGGGGGGCGGAGCACAGGCCGTGGCGGAGCTCAGAAAGGAATGGCAAGCCCAGTACGCTGCAGCTAGCGCACCTTTGGCCACAAAAACGCCACATTTCGCTTCCTTGGGCCCCTGACTACTGCTTCCACTGGTGCATGTACTTCCACGCTGCACATACACTTTATCGTAATCTCTCGTTTTAAGTAGAGTGCACCATGCTGCGTCTCATAACGCACAGCACGCGCTGCAACTCGTCCTTTGCCGCATCTCTCTTCCTTCACCGCGCGACGGGCCTCTTGAGGGACACCCAGGGGGGAATATTCCAAGTCGGGAACAGGCGAGTCCCCTAAGGGAGCGGAACGATGCGTGTTCCGCAGCCAAGAGTATACTTCCTCCGCCCTAGCAGGGCCAGGAAGCGCCGCTCGGGGACGTAAGCCGTTTGGACACGGTGAGCATAGATACGCCGGTAACCACCCGAAGGAGGCGTGAATTGCGATATTCCTGCCGCAGTCGCCCCGCAAGCCTCGGGGCTGAGCGCTGCTAAGGGAGGTCATTAACATGTATACGTGATGGCCAATCTGGCATGCGTGCCATCCTCCACCTCCTACATGAACGGCGCTCAGTATAGTTGGCGAGTTTGCTCGACGCATTCTCTCCTCGTTGAGAGAGCGCAGAGAAAACGAGTGGGAGGCGAGCACACACTTCAGCGCGTCAATGCGTCGCGCATTGTACGTGACTACAGCAGAACATATAATTCACGCTTACTTCAGGTGCTCACCGTGTCCAAACAGCTTAAGTTCCGCTTGGGCAGCGGCAAGTCCACCGTCTGGACGTCTGACTCTAGCGTTAGCAGAGAGAGCGTTAGCGTTGAAGAGGGCAGCACCGATGAGAGTCGCATCAATGCGGAAATCAACGGGCAAAGAAGGGTCTCATTTCTGGGTTCTGGCCGTTTTCATAGTTTTTTTTCATCCTGCACCACTGCCTACTCTACGCTGATTTCTAATGGGCTGCTTTTTCATCGCAAATTTCACCTTTTAGCCCGATGACTCCTTTAAATTGGATCATATTTATACAAATGCACTTGAAAGTTTTCGATCTCATTTCACTCTTAAACGTTTTCTTTGGATCGTTGTCGAAATCTGGACCTTTTTCATGCAAGTCGCAAATCACGGAGGTGTCCACTTTTACTTTGGTATTGCAACAGAAGTGCTGAGAGAGTAAGGTAGACTGCAACATGAAACTTGAAAGAAATTTACTCCAAACAGATTCAAAACTCCGCAATAAAGAATACATGGGACAGAATTATTATAAAATTCTAAAAAAAAGCAAAAAAGCATGCAGAATAATAACAAGTTGTACAGATATAGTGTAAAAACCTGAACTGAGGTAGTTGGAATACTAAACCTTTCAATTGAGCTCACGAAAGGATTAACCGGCTGTGGAAACGAGAAATGAGTGCACACGAAGGGGGGGGGGGAGGGAGAGGGACAGCCGCAACCGCGGCGTGTGGCACTTCTACGTCCTCTCCGTAAGATAGAGGATACCCGACAGGATGCCCGTCGCGCGGCAAGAATGCAGGACGCAGACGGGTTAGCGGACGAGACGCAGCGCGCACTTCGGCGGTTCGGCGTTCGTCGGGTGCAGATCATACACCACAAGTGACGACGGCCTCCACAAAATGTAAATGTTTTCTGTCAATGAAGATGATTACCTGTTGTATTCTATCAGTTGTCACTTATTACAACTAAAAATGCTATGAATCACTACTAACCAATTTACTTAGAGGCCGTCGTAGCTTGTGGTGTATGGTCTGCACCCAACGCTCTTCTCGGTTTTTGAAAAGCAGGGCAAACAGGATGCACCACAGTACGTCCCACATCACCCAGCACATGCTGCAACTCGTCCAGTGACCCGTCTGCGACTCTGCCTTCTCGCCGCGCGGCAGGCTTTATGCCAGGTACACGCGAGATAGTGTAAATTTGCACATTTCACCTTTTCACGCATCGTCGTGATTCTATTCCCCCGTACTGTAAACATTCCCCTGGCTCACGGATTCCTCGTTTTACACCAAACGCCGCGAACATGGCGCGCGCTGCGGCAGTGACTGCCTCCCCCAAGATATGTTAGCACGCAGAAACTAGAGCGAAAGAGAGACGTGTAGTTCCTGGCCGTATCCTGACTGAAACCTGCTACGACATCTGAATAACACCCACACCTGCTCCGTATCTTCTGAAATTATACTGATAAGAGGATGATCCTAACCTATGTACAGGGTGAATGACGGTCGAGGAATTTCTCGAACATGGCTCTGTACTGCGCGAGAGAAATGCCGAGAGTGAATGAAATTGTCGACAAGTCGACGATACTTCAAGTGATATATTTGGATGATTGAATCTGTTGTTTTTGATTGATTTAAAAATATGATGTGCATTACATTTTTTCTTATGACTCATCGTTTCATGTAACTTTTTGAGATGTTGTGGAAATTCTAGCTCGTGGGTGCCGATTATGTTGTTAGATTCTTAAAAGATATGCTCGCCATACAGTATAAAAGGAGGTGAGGAGAAGGAGCCTGGCAGTTTCTGCTTCAACCACAAGTGCTCACAAGTTCGCCTAGAAAGAGAGAAACCACAAGTGCTCCTTCGCCTCACAAGTGGAAATTGTAGGTCGTATTATTGATTATTGTCATAAAGCTGTGCATCAGTACAGTGTTAGGAGCAGTGGGAAAAGCTCCCGCCGTGTAGCGTGAAACAGTATAAGCACTATTCGAACTAGCTGCTGCGAAACAAGTACTAAGGAAACGAACCGCCGAATCGCTTTTCACTAGGTACATCGGCCCGCTCTCATCAAATTCAATTACCTTTTGAATGCTCTCAAGGGAGAAGCGCTCGAATTCAAGTGACGGCAGAAAACTATCAACTATCCGAATGCGATAGAATTTTTGAGGAACAAGTATGGCAACGCAGAGGAACTCGTTTTTCGACTGATCGACAAGCTCGAAAGCTGCTCTTTGCGATCGCCTGCCATACGAGATCAACGGACACTCTTTGAACAGATACAAGCCGTAGTGGAACAACTGAAAAGAAAGAACGAAGAGGTGAATAGTCAATGGCTGCTGAAAAAGATTCTGGGCAAGTTTCCACAGCACATACAACGAAAGGTGCTGATGAAAAAACAAGCAGAAAATTGCGACTTCACTATGGAAACGCTTTTGAGATATCTAGAGGATATCATTTCAAGTGAAGAGATGATCTCCATCTACGTCGGACGACCATCGTCACCGAGAACTCAGGAACGGAATGAGTATCAGAAGAAACCATTTCACAAGCCTCTTAATACTTGCATGTATTGTGGCAAAAATCACAAATCAGGAGAATGCGACAAGTACAAATCTCCACAAGAGAGATCTAACTATCTTCGGGAAAGGAAGCTTTGCCTGATTTGTGCTTCACCTCGTCATGCGACGGCTCTATGTAGGAAACCTCCCTGTTTCAAGTGCAAGAAGCCGCATCACACCTCCTGCTGCTTCCAAGTGTAAGGGCAAGACGAGGTCACAAGGCTGATAAAGGCACAGTGAAGGTCAACAACATAGGCCAAGAGGGTACGTCGGAAGAAGAAACAAGCATCCTGGAATTACATTCAGAAAAAATCTCCGTTCAGGCACATAACACCTTTTTGCCCACGGGACAAGCAACAGTTCTTGACCCGAGCACTAAGGTCATGAGAAGGATTACGGTACTGTTGGACACAGGAGCACAAGTCTCGTTCATAGATGCCTCGTTGGCCGAAGAACTTCAGCTTCCTACGATGGCACAAGTAAGGCTGAAGATACGCACTTTCGGCACCAAAGAAGTCCGAGAAAAAGTGTGCCGTCGAGTGAAGCTCAACGTCTGGGACATCGAAGGTAAACCTCTCTCTTTGAACCTACTTACGTACGATGTTTTAACGAGTTCATTCGCTGCTCCTCCAATAAGAGAAGAAGACATCAATTTCGTTCACGCGCTAAGCCTTCCTATACTTCGCCTCGATCAGAAATCCGTTACAAAACCACTTATATTACTCGGTTGCGACCAACTGTGGCCTTTGATCCATAACGATCAACCTCATTTGGAATTGCCTTCGGGGCTACACCTTTTACCGACCAGGCTTGGCCACCTCTTAACCGGCCAGCTTCAGGACGGCCAACAACAAGACGAAGATTACTGGAGCATGGAAGAACACCAAATTAACACGCTTACCCAGCCGT